GACCGGTACACTGGAGCTCATGCCATTTTGCCAGGATTCCACCGGACAGACTGCTGCTCTTGAGTTACTGCACAGGCCGGCCAGCTAGCAGTGAACAGACAGCAGATTTGACGCATTAAAAACTTACATAAGAGTTGCCAGAGACACTGCACCCTGGAAGGGGCTTCAAAGGCGACCGCCGGTCAACTGTCTGAATAAGACCACAAACAACTGATCGCAACAAAGACAACAGACCACAAACCCTAGGCTATGCATGGACACCCAGTGGCAACACTTCAGGGATGTATTATGTGGGTTACAGCATAACCAAAATAACACAACACATTGCTGGGGCACGAATGAGTCCACAGGAAGCATTAGGGTAAAAGAGCAAACCAAATCCATCTAAAGGAGGAATCCGTGACTTGTTCGCAAAGGACACTAGGATTAACGCTGGGAGGGGTGTTATGTGATCTATTCACTTTATGCTATGATAGTGTTACATCACATCGAAGCCTATTATCTAGAAAGCTCCTTTCAACCAGGAAACCTTCAATGTTTCTTCTAATCGACTAGGCGATGGAAAGTTAAGCACGAACTTTCAAGGAACTGCATTCAACGATGAAAGATTATTCCTTAGAGCATTACGCTACTTGACAAGATATAAGACTGATTTCCACAACGTGAAGGTCACCTTTCTGAGTTGTGAGTCTTACATAACTAGCACTGACTGTCTGGGATGTAAGCATCTGCAAATCTTTATTTCATGTTATTCCCAGTCATAACCTGTCTAGATTCTTGCTTTTACGTGAAACATAACCAGCTTTGATGATTCAATATTTGAAGTTTTCATGTTTTAAGTCTTAAAGAGTTCAGCCAACAATGGCAAGTATGCATTTTATCCCCATTTAGTTTTATTAAAATCAAAACCAGCTGATCTAAAGGCAAGCGTGCACCTTAAAGATGACATCATTCCACTTTCTTTAAGGCCCATTCAAAAGGAGAAACACAATTTTCCCCTGGCACTCTTCGTATCAAATATTTAAGACAACTGCAATAAACTCACATCTGTTTGGATAAGTAGGTACTTGCTGGGAATGAGAAAAGATCCAAGTAAAACAGGCAATAGAACAGACACCTGTGACAAGCCTTTGCTGCGACGAAGACAAATGTCCTTCCGTGTCCAACACAATTTTTCTTCCAGAGCTACCCCCTTACATTCACTTTGTTATGAATCTGCACTATTAATGAATGCTCACCTCGTTGAATCTTGTGACGAGGTCTTCTACTGTGTTGTGGTGGTCATTCTGAGTGGGCATGATGGGGGCGGACAAGGAGGCTTTCAGGTGCGGGTGGCGTTTGTTGCACTCTGGGCTTCCCAGGTCTCGGGTGAGAAAGCTGAGGTAGTCGAGGGGGAAGACGCGGCGGTACAGCTGCTGCTCCTGTTCTGTCAGGATGGTGGCGATCTCCTCTGGGAACTGGATGAGGTGCCGCAGGTTGGCTAGTTCCTTACTGATGCCCGTCACGGTGGACGGGAGGATGCTGGAGTTGGCCATGGAGCTGCACAGCTGCCGTTCTGGGAGAGACAAAGACAGTGGAGTTTACTGAATAACATCTGTATGGACAGGTAACCTAATGGCCCTCTCCGACCACCATATACCCTATTTTCTGCCATGTTCTTATCTTAACATAAGAGAGGTTGCAAGTCCTAACGTTAGTGGTTGATAGCAAAAAATAACCAGAGCATATATAATCCATTCCAAGATCTCTATATTCTCCTCCACATTTGATGGCATCTCGGGAGCTACCTGGCACAAAGCTTGTTCTGAAACGGAAGAAAAATGCCACCAAAGAGGTATCTCATTATTAAGATTCCTCTTCTTGGCTATAATCTAAGGTAGCTTTACATGCATCCTTCATGGAGAATCGCAGAATGCACTGCAACAAGCTCAGAAAAATAAATGGTGGTGGACAACATCAATAATTAATCAAATTTCTTATATACTGGAAAGTTTAGTTAAAAATGGAACTTTGAACCAAAATTTGAGAAATTTGGGTTGCACTTCATTTTACAGTATGTGTACTTATGTGTACTTACAATGCACTTACCTGGGAAAGTAATGGGTAATATAAGGTAACTACATGGGTTAAGGTTTAGGGGTAAGTTCAGGGATATTACCTAGTTATTATCCAGTTATTGTAATCACTATAATAAATACCTTACCTAGTATGTACAAGTGGAACAGAACTGTAAAATAAAGTGCTACCGAAATTTGTATGATGCACAAATTCTAGACACTGGTTACTTATGAGGGTCCACTGCATTTATGATGCTGCCTTAGAAGGCAGTTGCCTATATAGCTAGTAGGCAGCGAGTCAATTCGCTAGGTTTTAGAATAGAGCCATTATATAGGACATTTATTACATGCCGCTAAAATGGTATCTATAAATTCAATCAACCATTTTTGCGTTAATAATCAATATTCTTTATTGCCGCAAGACAGGGCTGGTGGCAATTGTGTTCAGTACAGTGCAGTGCAAAGGAGGAAGATAAACACAGACATAGATAAACCACTCATAATACAATAAAGTACAGTATTTACATGGTAATTAAAAAGAAGCGGAGAGTACCGCAAGAGACAAAACAAATAACTTTGATAATGTACACTGTGTGACACTTCGGTCTCATCAGTGCAGTCTAGTAAAAGTGGAAGGCGCCATACAGGCCAGAGTTGTAAATATTCCCAATAACCCATATACTGTGACACTGATGGATCATTTCTTCAACATCACCGGGCACAGTATTTTCTCATTATGTCTCGTTATATTTACATATCTCCACTGTTTACTCCATTCTCGCCTGAGATTACGATCATAAAACGGTTATGCTGGTATGGCGCTCAAGGGCAGGTCAAGCAAAAATAATATAAATACTGTGAATCATGCTTGTCTGGACAGCATCAGCTGTCAAAAGCAGTGTTTGCAGACTCCTTCCGCTCAACGCGCCGCCATGGTGACCGCCGGAACAGGAGGGGCAGAGTGAGAGTCTAGTCTTCTGATAGAACATGACAGTGTGCTTCTAGTACACACTAAGACTTAGACACACTAACCTTGTTTTTGAAGTGCTCTATGTTTTGGTGTTAGCATATCGCTAAGCTAATGGCACAATGCCCCAATAAAAGGAAAATGCTTAGCACACAAATAATAGATTAAATATATACAGTACAATTTTATCAATAGTCAATATAAGTATCTATAGGACTATGCAGTCTAGGCAGCTCACTTGCATATGAACAAATTATTTGCAGTTCAGCTCGGAAATGCAGTTACAAAGGAATCAAAATACTTACAAAAAAAAATCTAAACTTTAAATTTTAATAAACCTGAGCTGTGCTGTCTTTGTATTGCTTCAAACTGAACCAATGGCCAGTAATACTGAGAGTTTTCCTGAGGTGAGTTTTAGGCACATCATCTTTGCAAATATACAGCCTCATATCCATTCGCATTTCATTAGCCATCACATGCATCTGCCTTGTGTCCTTTTCTCTTTGCACATGGCATCTTTTAAAGCAAAATGGAGGGAAATGAATGCACTGCATTAGGCTGTGAATGAGCTGTCCTGATCTTTATGCATGGGCCACTCATGGTGCAGGTCTAAAGCAGACAGGAAGCAGCGCTCGTTTTGTGAACGACGGCTGAGATCCTGCTATTGGGACAAGCAGAGCAGCTGAGGTGCGAGAGGAGCACAACAAATTGAAAAAAATAATTGTTGCAATAAACACAGTGAAAAGTGCTGATTAAAGCATTGCTTGTAGGTGCAATCCCATTTTTGTCATAATCAGCCTTAGTACACATTTATGTTTCTAGGCATATGCAAACACACTGTGTAATATGCAATTAACCTGAAAAGAAGATATAAGGATTCATTTATTTATTTAGACATGACGCTGATACAACACATTAGCCAGTCTAAAAATCAATCAGAAGCTTTAGGAGAAAAGAGCCTTCGTCTTGGACAGAAATAGTCTGAATTATGCATGTTTGATTTATGACCAGTGAGTTAGACTTACAATAACATCCCTAGTATCCCATCTCCTTCTGCAAAATAACTAACCTGTAACTACCTAGGATGACAGAAGCCCTATATAAACCATAAAAACATTACATTGACTGTCTTGAGCATGTAGGGAAGACTGAGGGCAACTAACACAACATTTATTTAATCACAAAAAAAGTGATGACACTCACTTAAATGCTCAGTAAAGTTTCCAATCTGGTGATTTAGTAATTATACATTATTAATAATACACGAACATACAGTATACTGTAAATGCGTCATGTACCAAACATTAGCAGATAGATTTGCAGTATTCAGTGAGTTATGAAGGTAAATGCCCTCAGACTCCTCTACAACCTCCAGAAAAATATTTGAAATGAAGATGCAAGAAAAAAATTCATTCAGAATAACCTTGAGCAGCATGTTTCATTTTGTGTAACAAAAGAGTGAAAGCCAACAGAACGTCACAACCTAGCAAAATAGAAAACTCTTTCAATACAACGCGTGGATGTACCATTAAACTACACACACATTTTAATTCATTCATTGCTCAGTTTCAATTTAGGTTCAAGGCAGTTTAAAACAAAAACAAAACAAAATAAAAATAATAATAAAAATAAATAAATAAATAAAATAAAATAAAATAAAATAAATGTACTTATTCTTCCATCTTCTACAGTATTTACACAGACCTTTTTTTCTTCATACAACTACTGTCTATATAAACACTGAATATGTTCCATCCTTTGAAGGGACAATCACTAATTCTTGTTGTCATCCAAACCCGTATGACTTTTTGACTACAGCTGCCAGCTCTCAACACAAACAAATTATGCAACCTGAATCAAACATTAAGTCGTATTCCCTGTTGATTATTACATACCTGACATAAAAAAAATTACTAAAAATCAACTTCACAGTGTTTCTAGGGTTGTTTTTGGTGTTTTTCTAGTCTCATACACCAAAAACCTTGGGCTGCCAAAGTACATGATTTACTCTCTATACAGCAAAAAAAACAACAACAACACGTCAGTCCTTGACACCAAGCTCTAGCCACCAGAACAGCACCATTGATAATATATTGAAAATAACTCCACAAGTGACAGCACTGCCTGTTGTTGTGTGTATGGTAAAGTTGAAGCTTTACTTACTGAGCAGCCTGTAGTCCATCCTCTGTGAGGGGGAGTGTTTCATGGTTGTGGCCGTAGCGGCAGTCGGCTCGCTGACTCCCTGCTTCACACCGCAGCGGCGAGAGGCGCTTAGCCACATTTAAACTCAGCCTGACTGCAGCTGCCAGCTCTCTACAACCACAAACCTGACTCGCTGCATTTCTCACTCGTTCACACACACACACACACACGCTGTTTGGCCACTCGTACTCCCCTCCGTCTCTCTCTTGCTCTCTCTCTCACACACATACACATACACACACACACACACACACACACACATTTACTCTCTCCACTGGCTGCTCCTTCCTGGCAGGTCATGTTACTCACAGATGAAAGCAACACATAGCCTAGTGTTAAGTGCAGGGCAAGGAAATCGAGCACCCAAACTCTGTTCACCAGTAAAGACTTCGCCGATTTACTTGGGTAAGAGTCCAGTTAGAATTTGATAGGCAAACAATGACTTTATAGCCTAAATTTGGACATGAGACTTTGGGGATGTGCTTGAGTGTGCTTGTTTCCATCATTAACTTTCCCAGTGCATCCTGAGAGAGACTGATCGAAGAAAAGAACTCATCCAACAGCTTTATGGTCCATATGCCAGCTCCATTAAGCACAGAGAAAAGCTGTCCGGTAGATCTAGGAATTGCATTTATAAAGCCATTAACAACTGAAATCAAATGTATCCCTTAAGACATGTCAAAGTCAGAGTTGCTGAATATAGGAAAGACCTTTAACACAACTTCAATAACTGTTGTGAATATCAACACAGTTAACCTGGTCTCTCATGTCCTCCAAACCTGTATGACTTCCTTTCCTGTCCATGCTGCACTTTTCTATACAACAAAAGTAACTGGGGATATCAAACTTGAAAGAGGACAACTAATCAATACTAATCATGCCAGTCTTGTGAGGTCATACAAGAGATTTATGACAGCAATTTCAGTCATTATTCACATTTCTCGCTGCCAGGTGATGAAAAAAACAGGCACTATGCCAGGTTTGACGTCAACGACACCACGTTGTTGGTTCTCATGTGTCGTAACCAAAGTATGAATACGTCAAAGTGTGGATGAGTTTTTAGATCTATAGCAAAGGAGAAGATTTTCAATGAATACCAACTTAAATTTCGCTCAAATCAATAAATAAAACTGCATTGTTTCAGAAGACTTGGAAATAAGAGCACAATTCAAGAATGGACATAATTTATGGTCGTTTTTGGAGTTTAAAAGCCCCTGGGCACGGTTTAATTTCATTATAAAAGCAGCATGAGCATTCTGTAAAATATCTTTTAATAATATTCTCAGTTCCACAAAGTTCTACAGACAAAATAAAGTCACATAGGTTTGA